TTGTATCTGTGTATTCAAAATGGTTAGGATAGATATATAGTTACATTCTCTTAATGAATAGAGGGATTTGTTCTAATGGTGTTAGGATATCATGTCCGCATCTTGTACAGCAATTAACCACTAAGAAGAATGTATGCAATGTGTTAATTATTGAAACTGCCCTACCATTTTGGTTTGAAACTGTCTCATCGCTATTTGTTTATCAATAAAATTATGGGGAAAAAAAAAAGAGAAGGCAGCCAGGGGATGTGGGGTCGCTGTGTTTTCTTTCGGCGGGACAACAAGAAAGTTTGGGGCTCAGGGTTAACGCCCTTCACGAACAGTTTGCAAACCAGATTTGATCACAAGTTTTGGGTAATGCAGCTATTGAGGTCGAACAATTCGATTTAGGGTTGAACCATTACACAAACTTGTAAGCAATCTTCTATATTTTCCACTTCTTCTCTCCTTGCAGAGCACCCAAAGATGCTCCAGGGAGTTGTGGGGGGTGAAAGGAGAGAAAAGACAGAAATGCTCAGCATGTTTAACAAGCAAGCCGCAAGTGTCAGCTGGTGGGGTTTTCTTGTTTCTTTTGTTCAACAGCCACAGGCCCATGGATGAAAAATTAGGTGGTAAAATAACTCCTTTTACTTTTGTAGGCTGAGAACAAGAACACCTACCTAGGTCATTTCATTTCCTGAAAGACCCAAGGAGCAAATTTATTATTTTAAAACCAGAGTGCCTTGGCACATCTTTGCTGCTTTTGAGAGCCTCAGGATGCCGGAAGCTCAGGCAAGGGTGGAACCTCAGATTCTGATCTTCAATAAGACACAATGATGCTAATGTTATCAAAAGCACCTGCCCTGACAAGACACGCTTATACTACAATCAAAAGTGAAGCAGTCGTTTCAGAAAGTCTTTACTTGCCTTCAGCCTCTTTCATTAGCTTGGCTGAAAACCTTAACACTTTAAACTAGAGAGATTTTATAATAATAATCTTCAATTAATTTTTATTTTTTACTGTAGTGATCTTATGCCCAAATATTTCTTATCTGATAATCCGCTGGGTGCCTGTGAGTCTGATTCAGACAACTCTGACATGTGCTTGTCATTGCTTTAATATCTTAAAGTCATTGCTTCAATATCCCAAAGAGGAAAAGAAAAAACCACGGAGACAAAGATATCTGCTTCCTAGACTGGATGGGGTGGTGCGCGCCTGTAATCCCAGCACTTGGGAGGCTGAAAACAGGAGGATCACTATGAGTCTGAGCTACATAGTGAGACCCCATAGACCCTATAGACCGTGTACTAAAAAATAAAAATAATTTTTTTAAAAAAAGATATCTGCTTCCTTAGCTCGAGTGAAAGTAGTGCTAGACACCCAGCAGAAGGGTCCCGTGCCTGGTGCAGAGAAGGAAGAATTAGTGCCACACACCTTGTCATGGTATGGTCCTAAAACAATCCAGCCACAGAACGTGTAGCCCAGATAAATCATGCCAGCACAGGCAGAGAACCGGAGAACCTTCGGCAGAGAGGCTCGCATGGTTAATATGAGCACCTGAAAAAAAGGGGGGAAAAAAGAAATTCACGGAAAGTAGCTACAAGAGCCTGAGGAAGAAACGACCTCCACTGTGTTGTGCTTCCCAATGCCACGCGCTTACGTTATATGCTTGGAAATAACCCAGATATCTGATGACTCCAACCCAGACGAAGAGCGTAGATGTCCCCAGCAAAATGCTGCAGAGATTGTAATTCGTGAGATTCTAAGGAATAGAGAGAAAAGATGGATGAGTAAAATATTATACTCCACTCACCTTCTTTACCTACTTTATGGTTTAGAAAGTGATTCCCAGGACCAGTGAGATAGCTCAGTGGTCTAAAGTGCCTGCTTAGGCAATCCCCCTGCACCACCCCCATGCCAGCCCTGCCCCCAGGGTGGGCTGAGCCTGCCACACAAAAAAAAAAGAAATTGATTTCAAAAACATACAAGTGGCTTAGAAAAAATGGATGCTAAGAGGTTTTGTTTTGTTGTGGTTTTCTAACTTGTTTTATAGCAGTGGGGATCTAAACTAGGGCTTTTGCACCAAACTACGTTTCCAGCCCTTTCAAATTTTTGAGACAAAGTCCTGAAAAATTGCTAAGTTGTCCAAGCTGGGCTTGAGCTTACCACCTTCCTGACTGAGCCTCCCAGAGTGCTGGGACTCTGTGGGATGACTACCATGCCTAGCAGTTGCTACAATTGTTTTTGCAAGAGAAAGAAGGCCGAGAATGTAGCTCCAAATGTGTGCATCTGATTTCCTTTTACTATTTCATTTTGTTGGACTAATTTTTGTCTGGATGATATCCTGCAATCAAAATTGCATTTACCACTGACCTGGACAGAAAAAAGTAAGCTAATCTTGTTTGTTAAAGACCCAACAATATTCAGCTGCTTCTTAGGGCAAGCTCCAACATAACTTCCTAACACAGCTCCTGCACCCAAGGAATGCTAGGTCTGGTGGAGGAGACAGGCACACAAACACAATGCTTACATGATGCGCTGGGAGCCAGGACAGATGCATGCCTGGTTCTCATGGTTGAGGCGCCTGCAGAGCCTTTCCCGCAGGCAGAAGGCTCCAGGGAAGGGGAGAAAGGTTGAAGAGGGGCACAAGGCTGAGAACTACAGGTTGTCCTGTCAGACCCAGGGGAAGAGTGGGAAGCAAAGACAGAGCGGAGGAGGACCTTGGTGTTGTGCTGGAGGGAGGCTGCTTCCCCCAAAGTCTCTCACAGAGGTAGCAAGGGGGCTGACAGTAGAAAAATCGCTACGGCAGCTGAATGGGTGGGACTAGGGGACACAGGACTAAAGATGGGAATCCACTGGACAACTGCACTGTGCCTTTCTGCTGGTCTATGGAAAGAAGCAGTTAATGGTTTAATTTTTGTCTCCTTTTTTTCAATTGTTTGTACTTTCTCTCTTCTAAATTTTTATACATTTCTTTCTTCCAATTTTACATGCATATATCTGGTAATATGAATAACTGGTTGGAAAACAACACTATGTATTACAAGTACTGTGAAATTCATATTACTCTGTGAAGTGAAATTCTGTCTCACTTGTCATTTTTGTTTTAATTCAAATTTGTACTCTTTAAAAAAAAAAAAAGCACAGGAATCCATGTGAGGCTGCAGTGGCAGTGTGGGTGGCACAGGAAGCAGCGGGACAGAGCCAGAGGCAGCCGGGGTGGAGAAGCAGGAGGCCCTTTGCCGCAGGGAGGTCAGCTTGCTGAGACTGCCAGCAGCACAGAGCCCAGGGGAGAGCTGCTCAGCACTGAGGAGCCGGGACCTCGCACAGAGATGAAGTCAGTACCAGGCAGGCACCGGCAGCACTAAGTACTCTGAACCTCCGCGTGTCCACCGGGGACCCAAGGGTCACAAGTGAGTCTTGATGCATGCTCAGGATAAGTGACACATTTCAGGGTCGGTTGCTCCTTCTGCACCTCTAGAGCCCCACTAACAATTTTGTCCAACTTCAGTTACTATTCTGAGGCTGCCACCAGATTTCCCGGGGGGAGAATGATGGGGCTATCACAGTCCCCAACAAGCCCATTTCCTTCCCCACTTCCTGAGAAATCAAATCAACCCACATGCACAGGCGTGAGAAAGAAACAACCTGAGACCCAACCCAGTCTGCCTCGGGCTTTTGCATCTTAAGATGCCAGAGGTCATCCGGATGGACTGAAAAGCAAAAGGCCCTCCTCACCTTTGCTTTGATTTCCATTTTTAGTACAGATCCAACTATGGTCATCAGGTCGCTGATGATCACCAGGACATACCATCCATTGACAAACTCCCACCGGTCAGCAGCACACGCATGTCTCTGGTACTTCTCCAGGAAGAAATCTAGAAATCGCTACAGCAAACATTGAGAAAAGTATTTCTTACAAACCACTTTTCCTTATTCTGGAAGAAGACAGGTACAAAACAGTGCTTTCACCCATAAGGTGACTTTTCCAACTGTAAGTCTATTCGCAGGGAGACATGAAGGAATACACTCTTCCCTGTCCGTCATCTAGCCCAGCAGAAGGGGAGCATCTGAGTACCTGCTAGGTCAAGCCAGACACTCAATACACATGACAGAGTCCTCCAGACTCTTGTGAACATAGCTAACACAGTGTGTTCCCACTATCTAGCAAATGACCAGCTCACTCAACTGATGACCACTCATGACCTAGGTACTGTCCACTTCGTCTTCTAGCTGAGGGAAGCAAGACACAGAGAGGCTACACCTGGAAGGACTGGAGCCCCAGCATCCTGGCTCTGGAGAGTGTAAGCCCAATGCTGTCCCCCAGGACCCTAACCTTGGAGTCAGAGTATCAAGAGGATTGGAGGGTAGGGAAGAGGTAGGTACGTAGAAAGGGGGGGGGGCAGACATCCAGATCAAAGAAAACAGAGTGTAAGCTATTGTGTAGTTCATGAATGGGGCCGCAATGACTTCTTTGCCCCCTTGGCTCCAGGTGAAATTTGCACCCATGTCACAAGCCGGAATGAGACTGGTGAGCAGCTAGAACATAGATTCATAAGAGCCCCGAGGACAAACAGGTAACATGAAACTTGGTGGAGAAATTTTTGACTAAAAAAGTAAAATATGGGGGGGCCTGTGGGTTAGCTCAGTTGTTTAAGCGCCTGCTTGGGTAAACCCAGTCAGGTGCCGGGGACTGAAGTACAAACCCCAGACCCAGCCTTAAGGTGGCCTGAGCCAGCCAGGAAAATAAAGTAGTTCATGCTTCATTATAACTCATTTACGTGTTTCCCTGTCAAAAGGAGCTCTGACTGAAGACAAAAGATAAAACCCATACCTGCCATTACTCTACCCTTAAGATCATTCCTGAATTTGATAGTTTCATTTATTCTGGAAACACTGGAAAGCTTGAAAATTCACCACTGTGTAACCCACGTTTACTAGCGTAGCTGGAAGCAGGGTTATTACCTTGCTCCACCTGACTAGCGAGAGTTTGATGGGCCAGCAAGATAGATGAGTGGACCAAGTGCCTGCTTAGGCAAGCACGGGGACTAGGTTCGATCCCAGGCACCACATACCATACCAGCCCTGACCCAGGCGCGCTGAGCCAGGCACTGAGTTCAGGTATGGTAGCTCACACCTGTAATCCCAGTGCTGGGGAGGCAAAAACAAGGGGATCACTACTAGTCTGAGCTGTGTAGTGAGACCCTGTAGCAAACCCACACACACACACACACACACACACACACACACACACAAAGAGCCTTGAATGACATTCTACACCTAGTAGGGGACATCACTCAAAGGTACCTAACTGAGTCATGTGGTAAGGGAGGCCAACACCAGCAGTCACTTTTTGGACAAACTCCAGGTACAAGCCCCAAAGGAAGGAGAGAACGCAGACACAGTTACCTTCCGTAACCTTAGGGCGAGGACAATGGATCTGGTGCACAGGACAAGAGATGCCAAGCAAATCAAAATGACAAACGTGTCGAACACCAGTACATACGGAATGTTTCTCTGAGCTGAAGAACAAAACAATGAAAACGTGAAGCATGAGGATGATTTCTACAAGAAATGCTATTTGAGAATAATTCCCATGCCAAACTAGCCATCTAAAAAGAAGTTCGAATGAAAAAAAAAACAAAAAAAAAAAAACGATTTTGCCCATCGTTGAAATAAAATGGCAAATATTATGAAGGAACCACACTGCATTCATTTAGAAGTCTATAAATAGGGCCAGTGAGATAGCTCAGTAGACTAAGCGACTGCTTAGGCAAGAGCAGGGACGGGGTTCGATCCCGGCACCACAGGCCATGCCAGCCCTGCCTGGGGGCACCGAGTTCAGCTGCTAGTATTGTAACTCACTAGTAAGGTGTAACTCACAGGTAAGTGCCCGCCCTGGCTATTTTATATTCAAGAACTTCATTGTGAAATACTACCCGGTGTGTAAGCAGCACAGGAATTTAGCTCTAGCTAAATACAAGAGTCCCTCCACTGAGGCCTACGGAGTGGAGCAGAGGAAGCGCAGGCCATTCTTGGAAAGACGGGACTGAGAATCCTAGGAACTGCAAGGTCAGCTTCTGTTTTTCCTTTCTGGCCTGTAGAAGAAAATCAGTACCTTGCCTTGTGTTGGGCCTTATGTATAGAGAGGAAAACGAACCTAGAAAGTGAACTAGCCCCACTAACAATATTCAGGATTCTGTTCTTTCCCTTGAATTATTGAAAAGATTAGTTTGACGTCGGGTAACGGGGGTAACGCACAAATTGCCTTGGGCCGGGGAGATAGCTCAGAATAAGCACTTGCCTGGCAAGCTCAGGGTCCTGAGTTCAATCCCCGATACGGGAAGAAAAGAAAAGAAAAGGAAAGAAGAAAAAAAAAAAAAAACCTTGTCTTTTCACTCTGCTGAAGCGATGTGACCCCGCAGTACCTCGCTTTGAGATGACAGGGTGGTAACGGAAGGCAAAGGGAAGCCTGGAGCGCAAAGAGGGAAGGATCTGCACAAAATCGTGAAAATAGCACAAGGAGCCCAGCAGGTGTCGCCCTGGCCCTGGCTCTCCAGTTTTCAGGAACGAGGGACAAAAATCCGTTTCCTTTCACAATTTCAGCTTTTTAGGTCTTTCATATCTCCTCATTTTATTCTAAATTCGTATTCTCCAGGTGATGGAGTCTGATTTCATAGAACATCGCAACAGGAGGGGCACACGTGAGTGCCGGCGTTTTTACTGCCCGGTCTGTGAGGTTGTGTTTCTCTTTACTAGCCACTGGAGGGAGCCACAGCTTGCTGGTCCACGAAAGAACGGCGCCAAAGTTCAAAAGGGAACTGCGGCTTGAGCGCGAATTGGACCTAGCAGTTCCTTCCGTAGTTCTATTTTTTGTAATGACTCTCCCAAATCACATTTTATATAAACAAGGGTTAATGTATTTTTTTAAAATAAAACAGGTGCGCCCGGTAGACAGAGTTGGCTATGCTGCTTTCTGGAAAGAAGAACCAAAACCCATTCTGATCAGAGGAACTACCGAAACTGAATTTTAAGAATTAAAAACCACTTCAAAAATCACCAGGCTGGGCTGGGGAGATGGCTCAGTGGAATAAGCGCTTCCCTGGCAAGCACAAGGTCCTGAGTTCAATCCCTGGTTCTGCCAGAAAAAAAAAAAAAAAAAAAAAATCACCAGGCTGAATTATGCTACTGAAAAGCAGCAGGCCACAAATCAAACATAGTTGAGACCAGAATAATTTTACACCCTATTTCCTCCTGATAATCTGATCAAAGCAAGTTTTGGGGTTTGCTTTTGTTGGTTGGTTGGTTTGGGTTGGGTTTTGGTGCCACTAGGGATTGAATTGAGGGCCTTCACACTGAGCTACATCCCCAGCCCTTTTTCAGTTCTATATTTTGAGGCAGGGTCTTGGTAGGGCACACAGGCTAGGCTTCACCTTTCCAACCCCTCACGAAGCACACAGGGCCGGACTCCTTTAAAAACCTGTGATTAGGGGCTACTTTTTATAAAACAACTAGAAAAATGACCCAGTGTTGTTATAGGCTAAGATCTGAGCTCTGCAGCCTCCATCCTTCTCTGTTGTTCAGGCCTTAAGTCAAAACACACCTTCTCCAATTATTAGAAATTATTCTAATTTCTAGATGTTATCCTCCCCCTCCTCCTCCTTCTCTAGGCTCCCCCTCCTCCCCCAGCCCACTGACACTTAGCCACTGCTTTCTCTCCACTCCTTAGTTCTACCTACAACACATTTAGAGATTTTGTTAACATCAGTCTCTCCCACTAAAGCATTTATTTTTCTTTTCCCCTTAGGTCGGGTTTCTTCCTTATTTCTTTTTTGTGTTTTTTGAATCAAGGTCTCACCATGTAGTTCAGGCCTAGGCCTTGAACTCAAGCGATCCTCCTGCCTCAGCTTCCTGCTTCCTGGGATTATAGGTGTGTGGGGCCCCCAGCAATTCATAGGCATCAATTCTGGTTCTTCGTAGTTTGCTTTACGTACTAACTTATCCAGTGCTCAACATTCTGAAGGCAGATGCTACTACTACTCTTATTTTGCAGAGAAAGATACTAAGAGATTAAGAAATTGTTCAGCATCACAGGCAGGGTAAATAGAACAAGGACCTAAACCCAGGCAGTCTTGCTCCAAGGCCTGAGTTCCTACCCACATCAGGCTGCTCTTCATGAGGAGCGTCGTCTGACAAACATTTACTGAAACTAAACAAAAGTGTCAATCTATGGGACGTGCCTTACAGAATCTAACGTCCAAATATGGTTTCCTGAAGCCCTTATTTGCAATCACCATCCAAATCAGCCACGTAAGTGTTCCACGTCCCCGAATAAGTATGAAGAAGCCCCCAGGAATCCACAAGGGCAAGCAGACAGCACACTCACCAGGTCCAGATATGTTCAAGGCTTTACATTCTTCAATGGTGGCTTCGCTGTCAAAATAGACTTTGATTTTGCCACTGTGAGCTTTATTATCAAAGACGACCTGGAGACACAAGTAGATTGAGAGGTTGTTGCTCAATGGTAAGTAGCATTCGTTACATCAACTCTGCTGAAAAAATCAGTGGCGTCCAGTCTACTGACCCGAAGAACACCACGCTGATGAAAATGTGAGTTCTTCCCCACTTTCTATTGTTAACAAAAAATACAGTGGGAAGGATGAATACACGAAGTTCTGCTACATCTAGGATTTTATGTCTGTTTCAAAGAAATAACTTCTAGAGAAACAGTCCCAGAAACAAAAGTAAGGAGTCTCTGGCCTGAGAGGACAATGTAATTATCTGGATTATTATACTGAATGGAATTTAAAAGCATTTGCTTCGACTTAGTCACCTGGTATAAAAGTCTAGGTTGTCACTAGCTTGAGCACTGTTCTTCCGTTGGTTCTGAGAGTTACCTACAATGCTTTCAGAAATGACACAAGGTGAGGGCCAAAGCTTGCAATGTGCCTTCCTTTCTTTCTTTAGTTTTCTGTCTGTTCCCTCTACCAGGCTGTGAGCTTCTGCGAGCTGCTCATCTCTAGAACACCGCAGCTGCCTGGAGCACAGAAGGGGCTCATATGTATTTACTATTTGGTACTGAATGAAGTGCTCTTAGATTCCTAAAAGACAGAATATAGAATTCTCAACCAAGTCTCCAGTTTGGCCCTCTAACAAATTTGAAAGGAAAGCAGGGAAGGAGGAAAGAAGAAAGAAAAGAAGGATGAGGGAAAACAGGAAGACACAAAATCCCATGAGCGCCCCCTCTACTGCACATGGCCCCTCCCAGAATAAAAAGAGACACAACCGCTCCCTCACAGACGGAGGGAGCTTCTTTAGAAATATTTGCTATGAGATTTGCAAGGACCATCCTTCAAAGCTGGGGGAGATGCTACTGATTCTTAAATCACTTGTCCTGAATATTTCTTTTATTATGGTAGGAGAATAGGAGCTGGAGGCCAATTTTGAAAACCCCTCTTGCTGACTCAGAAATCTGGTTCTAACGAGTTGGGCAGAACTCGCTGCCCATTGGAGGCACTGGTCTCTGCATCAGTGACGCCACAAACCATCACTAAAGTTCAAACACAGCTACCTCTAAGATGTCTAGGCTGGTATGACTTACGCTCTGCATCTACAGGAGGAGGAGAAAAAGGCATAGAAAGTGGTGAAGTCAGACAACAAAGACACTTGCCGTGTTCTGAAAGACGTAACAGTCTGGTAACTCTCGGGAATGGATCTTCTGAAGGTCAATGCCTTTGAGGTGAAAGGAGATTTCAACTTGCAAGAGTCTAAACAAAACATATTGCGGGGCTGGTGAGATGGCTCAGTGGTCTGAAGCACCTACTTAGAGCAAACAAGCTTAGCAAAGCACAGGGACCACGGTTCAATCCTCCAGCACCACATGCCAGCCAGCCCCGCCCCCTGGTGGGCTGAGCTGGCCACATAAATAAATAAATAAATAAATAAATAAATAAATAAATAAATAACATATTGGAAGGTGTGAACTGTCACACTGTCCATCACTGAACCACTCCCTCTGCCCCATCCCTGTCTCTAAGGAGACAAGACTTGAAAAGGTATTATTTACCGGTAAAACTCCAGTTTGAAGAAAGCAGACTGCTTCCAGGCCTGAGAGCTGTCGGCAAGTGTTGGGAGGTCTAGGAGAACACAGTCTAGGGCATCAGGAGAACAAGGAAGGGTTGTTTCAGGTAAGAATCAGGTGCTAAAAGCGGCAGACAAATGCCATAATAAATATATAAAAAAATAAATAGGCCTGCCTGATGGCTCAGCGGACTAAAGTGCGTGCATAGGCAGAGGGCAGCAGCAGGGGTTCAATCCCTGGCGTGCCATGCCAGCCCTGCTCCAGGGCACGCTGAGAGGGCGACTGACACTGGGTGTGGTGGCGCGCACCTGTAATCCCAGTGATTGGGAGACTGAAAACAGGAGGACCACTATGAGTTTGATCTACATAGTGAGACCCTGTAGATCCTGTTCTAAATACAGAAAAAAAAATGTAATAAAATAAACAAATATCATGAGAAGCAGCATTCTTAGAAAGCTTCACAATATCTCCCCAGGAAGTATTTACTATATGTAACGGGAGGAACAGCAGCCTTTCCGTGGAGAACCTAGAAGACGCCACACCAACCCACGGGCCAAAGCAAAGGCTGCTGACTGAGATGAGGAGATGTTGTGCACTTCCACGACGACACACTGAACATGTACTGCCGCCTGCCCTGACTGCGTAGACTCGGTCCCATCATGAAAGAACAGGAGCCCTCCAAGTGTGGGACATTCTCTTCTTCAAAGCATCAAGGTCAGCCAGGTGTGGTGGCACACAATAGGATTCCAGCTACCAGCTGGGGCTGGATGATGGAAAGTTCGAGGCCAACGTGAGGACCTCAGCAAGACACCTGTCCTAGAATCACAAAAAACTAAATGGCCAGGTGAAGCGGCTTGGTGGTAGAGCACTTGCCTAGCAAGCATGAAACTCTGAGTTCAATCCCCAAGACCTCAGGAATAAAAAGATGGAGAAGGAGAAGGGATGGGTCAAAATCATCAAAGAACAAAATCCAAGCAACTTTATCTTGCTCTAGATTAAAAGAAACTAAACGATGTGCTCACCCAGTGCAAGCTGTGACCCTGGATAGGATGGGAGGGGATGGGTTTTCTTTGACTTCGAAGAACACCAAGACAGCTGATGAGGTGTGAGGATTTGGGGATTACAGTGTGATATGGATGTTCATTCACACTCTGAGCAGTGGGCAGTAGTCCTGCAGGAGCATGTGTTTGTTTGGGAAAAACACACACCGAACGGGTTAGGGCTAGAGAAACAATATGCCTGCATTTCCAGGAGAAACAGAGGAATGATGAAGCAAATGTGATAAAATGTTGGTGTTTGGAAAATCTGGATGACAGTAGCTGGGACGTTTTCAGTGATAATTTTATATCTTCTCTGTTAAGTCTGATACTTTTTTGAAATTAAAAATAAGGGAGAGAGAAAAGAAAGAAACCCAGATAGTGTACAAATAATAGTGTTGAGCCATGAGCTCTATGAGGAGAATGAGTCTGAGAGTCTCTCACCAAAATTGTCTTCTTACTTTATCTCCCACCACCCTTGCTTTAGGGAGGGTCATCTGTCACAGAGAGCTGGGGACAGGATCAGTGTGAATCCAGCCACTGGCTCCCACGGGCTGCCTGTATTTTCTGGGTTTTGCTTTGTTTTGTTTTGTTTTTAAGTATTTAGTATAGGCTCTACAGCGTCTCACTACGTAGGTCAGACTCATAGTGATCCTCCTGTTTTCAGCCTCCCAAGCGCTGGGATTACAGGCGTATGCCACCACTCCCACTCTCAGTTGCCATCTCAGCTCACTCTAGGGGGTGGGGCCAGCACAGCATGCCAGGGATCAAACCCCGAATTTCAACTCCTTTATGTGTAAAGGTCTTGGAATTTAAGAGTACAACTGTACAGCACCATTATAAACACTCACTGCTGACACTCAAAATACATCTCAATTATGGGACACATACACGTTTAATAAGAACTAGACATGCTAGACCAAATAGAGGGACACAAGGCTGAACAGAAAGCTTAACATGACATAGCACGCCACAGGCAACATGCTGGGTAGGGTTCTACATGTTCTATTTATGCTTTGTTCTGCTTAATCCTCAAGTCAACCACGGGAGACAGGCACTACTGCTGTCCTTCTGCACATGAACCAATCAAAGCACAGAAAGGTGAACCTTTAAGGTCATGCAACTAGTTGGTACCTGTTTAAAATTTAAATACACCTGTTCTTGGTTCCTGAGCTCCACTGAGTGCTGATCTCTAAGGATAGATTTTAGAAGAACTTCAAGGGTTCGGGCTCCCTTCCTCGTTCGTTTGTTTGTTCATTCATTCATTCATTCATTCATTCAGCAGTTGCTGAAAATCTGGCACAGTTCTAGACACTAAAAGTAAAGTAATGAACAAGTCAGATATGGTTCCTGCCTTCCTGAAACTCACATTCTTGGAAGAGACAAACAATATGGTTTAAAGATAGATAACTCCACAGTGGGAGAAGTACAGAGAGAGTAAAGGGATTGAGATTATTGGGATAGCCATGGTCAAAAAAAGCTGGTCAGGGAATAATTGCCAAGGTGTAAAGGTTTTGAACTGAAATGTCTGTATGAAGGAAAAAGAACCAACTACGTACAGGCCCACGTAGGAAAAACTCAAGCCATAAAGATGCCAGGCAAGAAAGAGGCTGGCTTGTTCCGTGAACAGAAAGCATGCTAGAACAGAGGAGCTTGGGAGACAGGTAGGTGGCCAGATCCCCTGGGGACTGGTAGATTTTATGGTAAACAGAATGAGAAGCCACCTAATAATCATGAAGTCAGGTAATGACATGGATCAACTTGTATATTTTAAAAATGCCACTCTTGGGGGCCGGGAAAATGGCTCAGTAGAATATGCTTGCCTGGCAAGCGCAAGGGTCTGAGTTTAATCCCTGGTTCCATCAAATAAATAAATAAACAAGTAAGCCACTCTGATCACTGTGGAGCAGGACAGGGTATAGGAAAGATCTGACCAGAAGCAGGAAGACCAGTCTAAGCATCAAGGAGCATGCACTAAGGTGGAGACGAGGACATAGAGTAATGGATACATTCAAGCATGGAGCTTGGGCAACCGGAACCATTAGTGTACAATACAAAACTGGAACTATCATTTCCCAAGATGGGGAAGACTAAGGAAGACACAGCTTGGACCTAGGGAAGGTGGGGGAATGGGAAAGTTTGAAATGCTCCTTCTGTTTGGGACACAGTAGGTATAAAAGTTGTCAAGCAACCAGCGGAACAGATGAGGAGCTGGCATTCATGGGATAGCCCAGGGGACAGCGCTGGGTCTAGGAGGCTGGGAGCAGGGGCTTGGCTTCTCAGAGCCTGGGAGAGATGGACACAGGTGCACAGGCAGGCTTTTAACTGTGGCCCCCTCTCTGTGCTGCCTGTGACACAAGGCACTAGGAGTGGGCAGAAGCAATGCAAGGAGCTTCAAGGGTTTGTTGGCCAGAAGACAAGGGTGTTCTACCCTAGGATGCCTCTCCAGGGGCAGGGACATGGGATGGAGGAGGCTAGGGACAAGTGACAGTGGAGAGGAGCTAGGAGAGAAAGCAGAGGGAAGCCCCTTGATGGCTTTTGTGATACTGGTAGCAAAGATGCCTCAGCTATGTACAGAAGGCACCCAAGGCAGGAGGTGGCAATGGACAGTGGCAAATGAGGTAAAGTCAGCCACAGGAGAGGTCTCTGGAAGGTCAAAGACCTTTGATAGGAGGAGCTGGGGCAGAGTGGCTTGCCCAGCATGTGGGAGGTCCTCGGTTGGGCCCTGGCATCCCCAAAAGACACAAACAAAACTTTAGTTGGAGAGCATCGAATCAGTGCTTGAGGGCTGCAACGTGCAGAAATCACTAGGGGTCTTGATAAGTTGTGCATGTGATTCAGCAGCTCAAGGATGGGGCCTGCGATATGTCACGGAGGCCCACAGCACTGGTAGCAAGCAGAACAGCCACTACTGCCACTAAATACTTGCCTGACGGAGGCTCAGTTACTTAGCTTGACTGAGCAGCAGCCTCCTCAGCTGTACAAGGAAGGCCACGCTGGTGACACAAATAAGGGCCTTCCACCTATATATAAGGGAAAGCGTGAAAAGAATAAACAGACCTCCGTGAACGGCTGCACTGGTGAAGTGGTGACGGGCTCCCGACCCACGCACCAGACACCACCCCAGGACTTCTTTTCCTGCACTCAATTTACTCCAAGGAGCATATTAATTCACTTTAAACATCTCTAAAGCAGTTCAGGTTTCTTTTTTTAACTGATGGCATCTGAGATTCAGGGCACGCTGACAGAATTTTGTCAGTTGTTTGTACATTAGTTATAAAGTGTGCCTCATAAGAGAGTGTTTTATTATTCAGTCTGTATTGCTTTGCTTTGAATTACAGAGCTACACGTTATCTCGGTGCATGTCACAGCTCCCTGAAGGCTGGCTGTCCTCACGCTGCAGTCACTGCTACTGAGGTCACCAGCACCTGGTGGCAGTAAAACTGAGATTAAAAAAAAAAAAGAATGGCAGGGCCCTAAGTAACGTATCAAACTTCCAGCAGAACAAACCACTATCCAGAGTAAGACTCTTATCACGGAGACAAAGCTCACAGAGGGGACTACTGCACCCAAAGAAATAACAGCCCTTTCAGGGGTGCAGAGATTAAATACAGCCCTATGACAGGAGGAAAATCGCATTCATCATGCCGCATGCTAAGACCATGTGGAAATAACATAAGAGACTCTAAAATTACTACAGAAAATAAAATACCACATAAGGTGAACAACCCTCATGCAAAACAAGAAATCCAAAATGCTCTAAAATCTGAAACATTTTCTTATTAATTTATTTTGGTACTGGGGATTGAACTCAGGGCTTTCACACTGGGCTACACTCATGACCATTGTTTCAAAACGGTTCTTTGTTTTGTTTTTGTTTTTTTAACACTTGCCAGGCAGGCACTTATGCCACTGAGCTAGATCCCCAGCCCTCAAAACTGTTTAATGACAGGGTCTTGCTAAATTGCCTAACTTGGGTTCAAACTTGGGATTCCAATGCCTCAGCCCACCCAAGTGCTGGGATTAGAGCCCTGATAGCTCCGTGAGCACTGACCTGGTGCTACAAGCACAAAATTCTTCACCTAATCTCATATGGTAGGTAACAGCCAAAAGGTAAGTGCTCTAAAAACATATGAAATTACCCTCTGGTTATGTGCATGACATACAAAAAACAGAAATGAATTTTACGTTTGGACTTGTGTCTTATTCTCAAGACGTTAATTTTTTTGTTTGTTTTTTGTCTTCTTGCATTATTTCAAAAAATCAAAACAGTATCCAAACTTTGAAATGCTGCTGTTCTCAAGCAATTTGGATGAGCAATACTTAAGTTGTATTAAAATAACACCCACTTAACCATTGGGAGAATTTCTTTTTATAGGATTCATCATAGTTCTTTCAGTAAGATTGAACCGGAAAGCTGTAGTTCTAGGAGCAGAGACTGAGGCCTGCGCCCATCAGCATGACTGTACAGAAACGCTTGGCTTGATCTACACAGTTAGTGTGCAGCCACAGGTGGGCCTACCAGGAAAGCTGGCCATAAAGGCAGATGACAGTGTTCATCAGACTCTGGGACAAGTTTATTAATAGTAAAGGACATGAAAAAATTTTTGAGTAGTTAATCTGGGACAACCTCTACCAAATTGCCGACTGAAACTCTTAGCCACACTAACAAAGCCAAACTGAATCCTATTTATGTCATCTGCGCATTTCTTCCAATGTGTCTAAGAAAAGCGGTTCCAAAATCAAGTAGCAAGTACCTTTAAATCTTTGTACCTCCTCAAAACATGAAAAGATTCTCTGTGCCAAGTTACATTGAATAATTTAAAGAATATAATTAACTTGCTTAAGCAATTTCAAAATAAAGTCAAATTAATCATCAACCAATCCACTTTGCCAAATGTATTTCATATTCTAGAAAGGAAATCAACAAGGGCACCATTTAGGAATGGTCAGGGTGTAAATATCCTCCTTTCCAGCCCTGCCCAACCTACCTCATCCGCAATGTTGACTTTGGCCACATTTCTTTAACCAATTTTGCAAGAAAAGTCAACCGAAAAAAGCAGTGCATGAATCACTGGAAAACAGTTGTACGGCGCCTTCAATTGGAGTCATACATTTTTCAAAGGCAAGTGACCACTGGCTTCCATGAAGTGTGGGTGACAGGACCAGCTTCCAGCCCCAACTGTCAAATTCTCCTTATCTCATTTATAGGAATCACTAAGGGGGAAAGGGAAGGCTGAACACCCAAGGAGAAGATGAAAGAGTGAAACAGGACTGGCTCACACAGACCCACTTACCACCACGTAGGTCTCAGATGAGCAGAGCCCTCTGGAGCAATAAGACCACTACTCCTGTGTCACTGGCTGCAGAGCCATGCAACTGTCCTCCAGTGAGTCTCAGACAGCAACTTGGTTGGCAGATGTACAGAGTCTGGACTGTGACTTGGGGGCTGCTTGTTTCAAAGTTCAGAGTCTATGGTGATGAGTTCACTCCCATACGGCCAAGTGAACTGCAAGGTGCTCTCTACTAAGATCACTGGAAATTTAGACTGATCCAGACTCCCCTGAACTGTTGGTTCCCTGAAGAGTCTTGAGGGGCTAACCTTCACAACCCTAGGACAGTTAAGAGTAAGGCAGGGTGGAGGCCATCCTCCTGAGGTGTGCTGAATGACCAACCCTCAAAGTCTTGAACCAAACCCTTTCCATTCACATATGACATTCTCTTATACGCTTAAGAGAGTAACACAGACTAATACTACATGGGTCATTGTTGTAGCACTTTGCCAAAGGATCTTCTAAAACAGAAAATGAGTTATTAATCACAATTCACCTTTGAAGAACACTCATATATTTGTTAGTAACAGAAATTAGTGTGCAGCAGTGTTACACACATTCTTTCATTTGATATGTACAACCCTTGTTTTTGTATTTTAGTACAGGGTCTACAGGGTCTCACTACATAGATCAGACTCGTAGCAATCCACCTGTGTTCAGCCTCGCTAGTGCTGGCATTACGGGCATGCACCACCACATCCAATCTCAATTGCTGTATCAGCGTGCCCAGGGGAGTGGGACCCGCACGGCACACCAGGGATCGAACCCCGGCTGCTGCATCTGCTTAAGCAGGCGCTTTAGTCTGCTGAGCTATTTGACCCGCCCTACAACCCATTTTTTGAAAAAAGTCTAATCAAACTCTCTCAAGAGAAAAAAAAAATCCAAATAAGCAAAAACACCTGTGCACTATTCCAAAACCAACATGCTTAAGGGGCACCAAAGACACGGCAGTCCCTGTCACTGTGGCCAGATTCCTGCGCCAAGGTCCCTTGCAGCCAGTGGAAAAGGACAGCCTGGAATAGATTCACTCCCACACAGGTAAGATTGCTCCATTCGAGTTGCTGGCATACACCGGCGGGGGGCGGGGGTGGGGGTCTGGACTGCTGTCCTTACCACAGAAGGAGCCCCAGGCCTACAAGGGACTGACGGCCATGTTACCTATCTCGATGTCTCTGTCAACGTTCAGGGTCTCGTTAGAAGACAGCACGCTTCCTCTCTTGTAATGCTGCTTGCAGACTTTTAAGCCAATCCTGTTGTCTTCATTTGCTCCATAATCAAGAGTCGCCAGGGAGATGTTCTTCAGTAGATGATACTAATTTTTAAAATAGTTAAATGAAAGCACAAGCTTTGGAAAATCTGATCAGAAGTCACAGAACACAGCATGCACGTCTAGCTGCGCTGTTTTGTTCACCTCATGCCTCTCAGCGGCATTTTCCCATTTAAATACCAAAGCAGTTTTCTTAGGTTGCACTGGAACATAACACAGACCCTAAACTAAAGCAAACATGCTGACAAAGAGCTCTCAGCACTGGAGCTGAGGTGCCACCTTGTCTCTGCCCTATTGCTCCCGAGAGTCCCTTGGCTCCACCCCCAAAGTTACGCTGGCCTCCACACAGTCCCTGGAGCTCCTGGCTCCTCGGTGCTGGGATTACAGGTATGCACCACCATGTCCAAGGCCTTTGCTGTCCTCTCTGCCTGGAGCTCTGCTACTGACCTGCTCAGTCCACTCCTTCCGGTCTTCATGTAAATATCTCACCTTAACAAGGGGATCCCTCATCAAGCCAGTGAAAATTGCAAACCTATATCAAAACCTCACATTGCACCCATAACCATAAATATATAGCTATACCTGCCAACTAAAAGAAAAAAATAAAAATAATCTTTTAAAAAGAAAATTACAAACAATATTCTGAGGCCAGACATGCCCCCATCTCCTCCCCTGCTTTTTTCCTCAACAGTCCTCACTTTCAAGCAAGCATTCCACCAGGGACTCAAACCATCCACACAGCACCACTGACATGCACACAACCTCATTGCTTGGCTTTTGCATTAACAGAGCTCCACTAGTCCCCACCTTTATTAATATGACTTCAAAGGAAGCTTCTGCTTCAGAACATAGGAGCTGAAAATAACCATGTTACTCATTTCTGTGATGCTGTGCTTTAGCTCTAGAATGTCCCTCCAAAGGCTCCTGCCTTCAGAGGGGGGCTTTTGGAAAATGATCAGACTACAGGGGCACTATGCCCATCAGTAGATTCAGTCACTGAAGAGTTCAGAGCCAAAGATTCTCTTAGGAGATGGAGTCTGGCCGGAAGATGTGGGTCACTGGGGCAGGACCCAGAAGGTACATATTCCCCTCCCCTCCTCCTTTACTCTGCCATTCACCACGGTGTCAGCTGCTCTTCCCCGAGACCCTCCCACCATACCTTTGCTGCCAAAGACTAACTCCTCTAAAAACTGAGCTAAATTAAACTCTCCTCCTTTAAGTTATGGGTAGCAGGTATTTTGTCCTAGTAAGGAAGAAAGTAACGAAGGCAAGGAACATAAACTCATACAAATAGATGACAGCTTGAAGATTCAGTCTGATGATAATTTTCATTCTCACTTGCTAGCAATTCCAATTCTCCTTGAGACTGCTCCTCCAAGCCTCTCTCTGCTACGTCCACCAATCCTAAACTATTATATCACGACTATTATTATCCAATTCTAATCAAGTTCCCCCAACACTGAAGGGTCCCCTCCACCTACCAGGGCACCACAGAGAGAGGTGAAGGAAGCATCTTCCTCACTGCTGGAAGCAGGAGGCCCAGCTTTGCTTCTCAAGATGTTCGGGGGGGGGGGGGCACTGTTTTAGAGACTCAGCATTTGATGTTACACGTCACATTTCATTTGTCTCACTCTCCCCTCCACAGTGCAAGGGATTTTGTTTTATTTACTGTAATGGCCCCAATGGCTAGGACTGTACTTGCTACATACTAGGGACATAAATATTTATTTATTCATTCATCCATCCATCCATCCATCCATCCATCCATCCATTCATTCATTTATTTCAGTACCAGGGATCAAACTTGGGACCTTGAGCTTGCCAGGCAGGTGCTTACCAAATATTTACTGAATTAATGAAATAACAAAAACAATTTCTCCTAAACATTGACTTTAGGTCTACCAATCTATTTTCTTATACCTGTGTAAATACAATTATCTTAGGTTCACATTCTTAAAATTTAGCTAGGATTACCCAGGCTAAAACATGAAATCCAAGACAACCATAGGCTCTTTGGTTGTATTTCAAATACTCATCAAAACTTCTGGGCCTATGAATCTCTTGGGAAACTACTAGTCAGGTAGGAAGGAATAAATTAAAAGGATAACATTTTAAAGGAAAATTCAAAATAGGCAAACTATTTACTATTTAGTTCCGGAAACAGTAAATATTTTTGGTGGGCTATGCAAAGTTTACATTAGAATAATCTATATATGGGGCCGGGGAGATGACTCAGTGGAATAAGCACTTGCCTGGCAAGTGCAAGGGCCTGAGTTCAATTCCCAGTTCTGGAAAAAAAAAAAGTAATAATAACCTATGTATAACTTTTGTTCCTTCCAAGACAACAAGCCCAAGTATCAATATTTTCTTGTACAGGTTACTCACAAAACACTTGCCTGATTAATAGCAAAAAAGATGCTCTCATAGGCGTCCTCTTGAGTATAAATGCTGCAGCTGTAGTCATCTTCATCTGTGCCAGAATAGTTTTTCAAAAACAAGTGCTTGAAAGCAACAGTGTTATCTTCTTTGAAAGCAACCACCAACTGGTTACTTAGGCCAAATCGAACGAGCTAGAAAAGATCAAATAGGAACATGAACTTTACTGGGGGAGGAAAAACATCCTTCTTATTATCACTAAACCTCATTACTGAGCATTAGAAAACACACACACACACACACACACACACACACACACACACAATTCTTTGTTTTATACTAATAACAATAGTGTCAAAATATAAGTTCCGTAAAAGAATAACCTCAATGCTGAGCTACATCAGCAAATATAAGCAGCATAAAAATTGAGTTGGGGCTCAAAAAACAATACCCCAGAGTATGATACTTTGACACACTGAGACCCTGAACTAAAGAAGCAGCCCAGGGCTGCCCAGATATCTCAGCAGACTAAAGCAGCCAGGGTTCAATCCCCACAGTGCTACGGCAGCCACCCTGGATGATTGAGACCAGGCATGACGGCACATGCCTATAATCCCTGCGCTTGGGAGGCTGAAAACAGGAGGATCACTAGAGTCCAATCTGTGTAGTGAGACCCAGTAGACCCTGTACTAAATACATTAAAAAAAAAAAAAAAAAAAAAACCAGCCCGAGAACCAAAGTGTCACCAGGCCCCACCTCCCCATGTCTCTTGTAAGGCACAGGGAGTTCCTTACCCCAGAAAAGTTCTTTCAGATTTAACACAATTGTCATGAACTCATTCCCTACAGTCGGTGAGACTTAAACTGAGAAGATTCGCTCACAAGAGAAAAGACTTTCGGTTGGAATCCAAAAGCCTGCAAGTGCCCTGGAAAAATGGTTTCAGTTCATATTCAAAGGCTGAAGAACCTGACATCTGATGTCTCCAAGGACTCTTCACTAGGGAAGAGTCGGGCAGGGACAGCAGGATTTTCCCTTCCCCTACTTTTTGCTGTACTTAGGCGCACAAGCCATTGGGCAGTGCACTGCCCTCGAGGTTCAGGGCAGCTCTGTGTGCACAGCTTGCTGAGCCGCCAGCAGTCTGTTCTAGAAACACCAGGCACACCCGGCAGCGTGTGCTCTCCCGGTTTTCTAGGCCTCCCTCAGTCCAAGCAAGCTTACAACCAAAGTTAACCACTGTGCTTACTCTTCTTGCAAAACAGCCTACATTCCACTGCCCACTGTCCTTCCCCTTAGGAAGAAGGGTAGATAGGCTCTTAAATGTCACCAGGGGGGGATACTTTTCATTCTTGCGATACCCCATGAACATAATAAACATGCATGCTTTCTCTCCTGCTAATCTGTCTATTGCCAGTTGATTTCAGCTGCTGCAAATATCAAAGCTTCACAGAGCACTGGAACTGGAAGAAACAGCCACTCTTGATGGCTAATGACTCTACTGGTCTTTAAGAACCAAACCCTATCACCTAAGTTTCAATCCATTTTTCTTTAAATAAATTTTTTTTAACATTTATTTAGAGTGTGTGTGTGTGTGTGTGTGTGTGTGTGTGTGTGTGGCCAGCTCAGCCCACGAGGGGGCGCGGCTGGCTGGCATGTGGTGCTGGGGGATTGAACCGCGGTCCCTGTGCTTTGCCAAGCTCGTTCCAAGCAGGTGCTTTAGACCACTGAGCCATCTCTCCAGCCCCAATCCATTTTTCTTATGATTGGATTTCTTTTTGTTTGTTCGGGGGGGCGGGGGTTGTGGGGTTTTTTGTTTGTTTGTTTCTTTTCTTTTCTTTTCTTTTCTTTTCTTTTTTTTTTTTCAGAATCAGGGATTGAACTTAGGGCCTTGCACTTGCCAAGCAAGCACTTATTCTACTGACCTATCTCCCTGGACCCTATGATTGGATTTCAAGTGAACTGTTTTCAAAATAGATGACTTAGTAAAGCAACAATGCATGCTTGTCGGTTTAATATTTAGAAGCTACGTGCATTTTTATAAGTACACATGTGTTTATATGTGGCTTTTGAAAAGTACCCTTCATAAATATCTAGTCCAGCCAGGATGTAACATCAAAGGAATTCAGTTAACCCAGATCTACAAGAACTCTCACACATATTTACACCTAAGAGTCTGCCCACTATGATCTGCAGGATCAAAGCTGATGACAAGTGGGACACTGGGTCATGCACTTGTATCCCTGGCACTCTGGGAGGCTGAGGCCCAGCTTGTATGTGTAAGCCAAACCTGAGCAACTTATGAACTTAAGATGCTACCTCAAAATAAAACATTTTAGAAAGGATAAGGATGTAGCTCAATCTGCAGGCCCTGGGTTCAATCCTTAGTACCAAATACAGACACACCCACAAACCTTATGTAGCAATACACAGTAACAGGACTCACTTTACCTGTATGATATCAAACTCACTCAATGTCATAAGTACCCACCTGCTCCTGATAAAACACCTACTTGTTCCTCTCACTTTGTATCCTGGTATAAAGTTAGGCACCCATGGGCTCTATAAGGCAAGAATGAAAGTTTCTTCTTGGAAAACAGTGAATGGTGAGTATTAGTCAGGAACAAAAATTTACAAAAATCTAAGTATCCACACAAAGCTATACACACAAACATAGATATTCTTCCATAGGTGAGATCTCTGTCTCTGTCTCTGTCTCTATCTGTCTGTCTGTCTCTCTCTCTCTCTCTCTCTCTCTCTCTCTCTCTCTCTCTTTCTCACACATACACACACACACACACACACACACACACACGCATACACACACACAGAGGCAATAGAGGTCATGAAATCAAACCTCCAGAAGCCCTTGGCCCTCACCTCTCTCCCCATATCCATAAACTGGGTTACAGAACAGTGTGGTCCTAGATATCTTCCCCCAGGTCCATAGCAACTAAGTCACCAAAGTATTTTCAGACTATTTCTTCACATGTGAAGTAGCAGGTTTAATTAAATGACAATACTGTCACTTCCTGTCATTCCACCCTTCAATATGATGCACTCATATGATAATATATAAGATATATAATTATGATATCTTAATATGATACTTACAATTCAGATGAAACTAATGTTAATTTATAGATGCAAATAGGCATAAGGGATTTCTTATTTTTTTATATTTTTAGCATTTTCATTCTATTTTTAAAGACAAAAATCATTAAAAGTAACGGCCATCTTTCTGCGATTATTATACGCCAGGCACTGGATAAACTGCTTTACTAGTTTCCCACCACGACCACTGGATGAAAATGGTGTAACTGTTATCCACAGTTTACATGGTAGAAACTGAGATCTGGCCCCACTAAACTGCCCCAGGCCACACACCAGAATGAGAAGCAGGCCTGACTCCTGAGCGATCTTTATTATGATGTACAAAGAATCCCCTTCTGTTCAAACAATTCTCTTTGGGACAGTTTTCATTTAAAAAAAAAAAAAAAAAAAAAAAAAAAAAAAAGATTATTTTGAAAAAAAGAATAAGTGCTAGATTTTTAGAATTATGAAAAGCAACTACTGCTTGCAAATGTACTTAGATGACACTCTCTGGGGTTTCAATCTCATCATATTACTTTCTTCAAAAACTAACTCACAGGATTGAGCAACTGCTAAAATCCCAGGTGTCTTAAGGAAAACTTTAGATAATGCATCCCACATCATCCAACTGCCATGAAAATCAAGAAATTGAAGATTGAAGATTTTTTAAAGCATGTGAAACTCTGCCACTGGTGGCTGTGGGAGATGCCAGAAAAGGCCATGTTGTTTTTGAAAGTTAAAGAGTAAACCGGTGAACCAACACATCCAATGGCTTCGTGTCTTTAAAAGAAGACGCAGCATCTTCTCTCTCTGCTTGCCTTACCAGTAGCACCATGGAATTAAGCTCTTCAGTAAAACTTTGCTGACAGCTTCTTCTCTGGCAAGGATTCAATGTGGGCAAGATTGACAGGCACAGTTGTTACTCTTATCATTGAGTGCCAATTCTTACCATCACTGTGCAAAGAAACCTTTATACTTGTTATATTTCATGTAAGTCCCCTTATTTCATGAGGAAGGTATACATGGGGCCCCATATGGACAAAAAAAAATTTCCTACTAATAATATATGCTCAAGAACTGAAACCATGCCTATCTCAATGTCTGAGTCAAATACTGAATAAATTGGTTAATATAGCCGCATTTTGTACATGTGCTGCTTGAAGTTAAGTTACTTATCCAAGCTGGACACCTAGAAAGTACCAGAATGAAGGTGGGAACCAGGCGTGTTTGACAGTAGAGCCTATTTATTCTCTTGAGCAACTGGACGCCACCTTCTAAACTGAAGTGCTACCAACATCAGGTGCGACATATGAGATTCTCTCTCCCATGCACATAGCAAAGCTACAGAAATGCAAAAAAAAAAAAAAAAAGTCTCAATAAGGAATGAGCTAGCTGAATCAAAAAAGCATCGCATGATTGGCTAATATTTGGAGCCACCACCCAATTTAAACTCTTAAATTACCAATTCAACTTTGAGAGGATTAAAGCGCCTACTTAGGAAGATGCAGGGGTCTGCCATGCTGGCCCCACCCCCAGCACCCTGAGACTGAGATTGAGACTGGGCGTGGTGGCGTGCGCCTGTAATCCCAGCACTTGTGAGGTTGTAAACAGGAGGATCACTGAGAGTCCAATCTACGCAGTGAGACCGGGTAGACCCTGTCCTGAATACAAAAAACAAACAAGCAAACAAAAAAAAAAAAAAAAAAACCTTTGAGAGGAACAGAAAGTGGAGTGGTGAGCGCTGCTGGGGACCATCCCTATCTGAGTGGTTTTCAGAATGACCTGGCTTCAAGAACAGCACATCTCTTCCATCTTGTGGTTCTCAGAGCATGACAAGATCTTTCTGGATGACCTAGCATTGAGAAGGGTTGGCATCTCCAAACACCTCAGGGGAGGCAAGCCCTGAGACGGAGGCTGTGAAATCTCTTTCTTGTTATGACAGAGCCACAGCCTCCACACAGAGCAGGGGAAGCTTTGGACTTAGATGTTGGCCAAATGACTTTATTTTCAAGAAGCAGTAGACAGCAAATACATATCTTCATTCCACACACTAAATCTCAAGATTTGCTAAGAACACCATTCAAGACAGAAAAATAATGACTAAATTTAGTCTGGCAAAGAGGGTGAATTTGAAAACCTCCTTTTTAAATTCAGCTTACAAGAAAACATTCTGTACCAGGTAAAAACAAGATACCATCCTAATTTTAGATAAAGAATATGGGAGGGAAAGAATACAGCTAGCAAAGGAATGCCGAAACCTCCCTTGAGATTATAAATTACTGCAGAATTCAGAGTAGGAATTTGCTTTAAATTCTCTTCTCACCAGCCCTCATAAAATGCCATTTGTTTCATTAGACTTGAGGATGGAGAGAAAAGAAACAGAAAAAAAGGAGAAAGAAAAATGGGATCCGATGGAAGGAAAGGCAGTTAAAAAAAAAAAAAATCTGCTCCAATCAGATAGCATCCATGTCACAGAACTTCATAGAACAGTCTTACAGGGCAACAAAAACTGAATCTTGCCCAATATTATTAGGGCAAGATCCACGCAAACAGTAAATTATATGTTCCCAGGTTCCAAGAACTTCTTTATTTTAAAAGTAAAATTCACAATGGAACAGCAATGAGTACTAGGGAAAACCACAAACAGTGGCCAAGAAAGGCTGGGGTGGACACAGGACATCAAACAGCTCCTCCAAAGTCAGAATAACCAACCAGACTTAGGAGAACGAACAGGGCATGGATGGGAATGGCAAGGTTGGTCTGCCTGGCTGGCGTTAGGGATGAAAGCAGTCGATGAAAACTCATTGGAAAGACAAGTCAAACAAGATTGAGAAACCTGTGAATTCCAGGCCAGAGAGTTGAAGTTTTCTTCTGAGGGAATGGTGGTTCTGCAGCAATTTCTGAGCAGGAGTGAAAGCTATGTTAAGGAAAATGCTTGGCTAAGGGCTGGAGCTGGGTGGCAGGGCAGGATCTTTACTGAGTCGGTGCCCAGCAGGTGAGACTCTCTTATATACTTGGGACTCAAAGTCTGTGTTAGAAATAAGGTAGAGAGTAACAAAAAACAAATAGAGCTGCTGCTATGACGCATACCTGTAATTCTAGCATTTTGGGAGGCGAAGGCCGGCAAATCACAAATTCAAGCCCAGTCTGGGCAATTTAGTTACTTAGTGAGACCCTGTCTCGAATTTTAAAAATAAGGACGGGCTGAATAGATAGGCCAGCATGAAGGATGTGGGTTCACTCCCCAGTATCAAAAAATAAATAAAATAATAAACAGTACACACACACATAAATACACAGGCACACACACAGTAAACCCAGATACTTGAGAGACTGAGGGAAAGGATTGTTTGAGCTAGTAAGTTCTAGATCAACCTAAGCAACATAGAAAGATCCTGTCTCAAAGCAAAACAAAACATAAATAGACACAATTTTGATTTTTAAAAAGGTAACTTGTAGGAACAGGATAAAGTAAGTCCAAGATGGCAGTAACGTTTGACACCTTGTGAGACAGAAATTTGGTAACAGAAGTAGATCAAAAAATCAAGATGGAGGCTGGCCTAGCAGGCTAGGAAATCGAAGGTGGTTACAATTAACCAAATGACAGGAGATGGTGGTATTTCTTCACCTTCGAATGCTAAAAACGCAACGTCTTAGAGGTTCCCAGAATTAAAACTGCCAGACCAAGAATGAAAAAGCATCTCTCCCACAGCATCCTGCAACTCAGTCTTGCTTCTTCTGAGTAGTTGGCCTGCCCTAAAGCTGAGCAAGCTGGGAGGATCTGGCACACAAAGGAAAGATCTCTGTATGAACACAGAATACAGCTTCATTTACAGCAGGGACCTCCTCTACATTTCCTGAAATACGTAGTGATATATTTCATGTTTGTTATAACATTATATTAATGGCAGGATGATTATCTGACCCTATAGCCAAGTATCTCAAATCAGGATTGTTGAAATGTTTGCTTTTTGGTCATTTTATGATGCTATGGACGAAGCCCAGAGCTTCATACATGCTAAGCAAGTGCTCTACCACTGAGCTACCCCCCTAGCCCAGGGACTAGCTTTAAAAATGGTACAAGTTTCAAATAGAGGCATCTGCAGAGAGGCTTCCCCCCAAACTGGCTTCAGTAGCAGAGATCAAAAGTTAAATGACAGCTTTGGTGGCTGGAGATAAACTGCTCAACAGCATAAACTTACACTCTAGACAATGTCCAAGGATTAGTGTTTCCGTGGATCTTATGGCAAATGATAGAGGAAGCTCAGCAGTCCGTAAGTGAAAAGACAAAATGTGCTCACTTCAAAACCATATTTGAATAATGTGTATTTGAATAAGGATAAGGGACTTGGTGATCCCATAATCTCTGACTAAAACAAGGTCATCTTCTAATGAACTTCAGCCTCCCAGCTGTCACTGGCCAACATAATTTTACAGTTTTATGAATGTGGGTGTGGACTCTTCAGATCAAAAGTACAGAAGATATAAAGACAGTTTCACCTGAGGATAAGGAAAAAGTACTCGTCTGTGTTACCTGTGTGGTGACCATGAGTATCTTCAAAATCTGCAAACCCAGTTTCCACGGAATCTGGTGTCTGGCCCGGTATTTCTCACAGGGGTTCATGAAGTAAAATCTCAAGTCTTCTCTCAACCGCTCTTCTTTCACCTCAGAATCAAGTTGCGCCATTGTGTCTCTGCCACAGAAGACCAAATGTTAAGTACTCTGCAGAGCCTTCCCTCAGCAAGCTCTTGAGTATCACTCTCTGGCCTCGTGCTCTGCTTGTCACACAACTTTCTCTGCCAGTGAGCTCTTATTCTTCTGAAGTCTGAGAAGTAGTCCAGATCCTCTATCACCTGCCTTTCCACATACCCACCCATCTGGTTCAAAATGGCCATTCTCAGAAATGATAAAAGTAGAACTTCATTTTGTAAAACTTGTTAAGTCCTATGACTTAACATACAGCATTCTCTTGTCACAAGAGTATTACAAGAAAGTATGGTTTGGAGAAAGAGAGAGACAGACTGACTGACTGAATGACTGACTGACTGACTGACTGACCGAACAGAGACAGACAGAGAGATAGACAGACAGACAGAGACAGAAAAAAGAAAAAAATATGTGAATGTAAGACTGAATGTGTAAGACTGGATATATAACAATGTCTGGGTGTGTTTGTGACTGTGATGTCCCTAAGTGTGCATGGAGAAAAACTAGGTAAGTTATTTTTATGATACTTCAGGTATGAAATAATAGAGATTTAGTATAGATTAATGTAATTAAAATTACTCTAAAAGCAGCAACTATTTTCTATATAACTTAATACTGAGACAAAGATCATGCCTCAACCTGGTATGGATAAAATATCAATGATTGTAAAGTTCCAGAACCTAAAAAGCTTCCCAAAGTTAAAATACCGGGGCTGGTGAGATGGCTCAGTGGTCTAAAGCACCTACTTAGAACAAACTTAGCAAAGCAGAGGGACCGCGGTTCAATCCCCAGCAACACATGCCAGCCAGCTCCGCCCCGTGGTGGGCTGAGCTGGCCACACACACACACACACACACACTAAAAAAAAAAAAAGTTAACATACCATTTCTCTAGTCAAATTCCATCACCCTATATTAGTAAAATTTTGCTTTTTCTGTTTCAGGGACTCGGGTCTCAGGATTCAAGGTAGGCCATGAGAAGTGGTCACAGGACTGGAGCTAAAATGGACAGGCCATGTCTGGTCCGGCTACTAAGTGGTCTCCAACATAGGATGTGCCAGAAATGTACACTGGGAGCCCAGGACACATCAGTACTTATTTTTATTCTCCATCTTTAAAAGACAAAGCCTGAATTCTGCCAGTAATTAACATAACCCAGACTATACATACATAAGAATCATGAAACTTACCAATATACATATAATATATAGGCACATCACATATAAAATATATGTAACAGTGATGCATAATCATTTATAAATAAATGTATACACACTGGGAATATTGTGCCTAATTTTACTGTTTGGGGTTTTTTGCTTTTGTTTTTATTTAAGGGAAGAATCTACAAGGAATTCAGAGTCTCACTATCAGATAGGACTCACAGTGATCCGCCTGTTTATAGCCTCCCAAGAGCTGGGATTACAGGCACGTGCCACCGTGCCCAGGCTCTCAATTTTACTGTTGGGTGCACAATCAAAATTTGGAGATTGTCAACATCAAACCCCGGCCGTCAGTCTGGAGTTCCTAGAATCCATCTCGCTGCCCCAGCAGAGCTTGCCAGAGATGGAAGCTAGCACAGAAAGTCAGGCGGGACATAGCCACTATTATGGTTTGTGTCTAGTTGTCCCCCCAAAGCCTCATGCAGTCATGGGGTGAGGACTTCTAGAGTTTGTGTTAACTCATGATCCACTGGGATTATGTGTGATCCAAGGCTGGGATTATGGGTTTTAGTACTGCTGGGATTACCCATAGGTGGGTAAATACTGGGAAGTACCTATAGGTGTGAGTACTTCCCCTACCCTGGGGCAGGTAATTTGCATTACAATGTAAGGTGGGAAGAGAAGCTAGCTGCTTGAGCTGCTGCTACCCCTCCCTTGTGCTCTTGCTCTTTGCTGCCACCATGAAAGGTTGCTTTCTGCTATGTGCTGCTCTGCCTCGGACCCAGCTGAATATGGACTGAAACCTCCAGTAACTGTGAGCTAAATAAACCTTTCCTTCCTTCATTTTGAGTGTCGGGTATTTGTCCCAGCAATGAGAGAAGAGTAACTAAGACAGCCACTAAGTCTAAAAGCTATATTGAGTTCCTGGACACAACTCTGCCGGAAGCTAATCATCCAAGATTTTCAGTTCAAGCCCATAAATACTCTTTGAGTTTAAACTAATTAGAATTAGATTCTTCTTTCTCACCTCCAGCAGCATCTTGATCTAAGTTTCATGAATAAATTCTAGTAGGTTAGGTCATCATTCGAGTTCTTCATTTCTTGGAGTGTTAATAACTCGAGGTTATTCTAGGGGTTTTTTTTTAAATTGGAAATGTCTAAATAACATATTTTCTAATTGATTTAGAAACTGTTATTTGTCTTGACTAACAAGCTTAAAAGAAACCCAAGAGGGAATGATTGTTTAAATGCTTACACCCACTTGATAATAGTTTTCTAAGTTGATGTTTTTAGGTCTCTTTGTTTTCCAGAATTAGTGAGCTAGATAAACCAGAATTATTCTACTAGAAAGGAGAGGGAAGAATATAGGAAATAGAGGGAGAGGAAAAAGAAAGAGGGGAAGGAGGAAAAGGGAAGGAAAAATAAAATAAGATAAAATATAAGCTTCCTGGGAGAATCTGGAAGAGCCTTTAAACAACTACAGAGTTAAAGAAAAAAGCGAACTTCCAGACCAATCTCGGGGACACCGGAGAAGTAAGGGCTGATTGCCACTCACACAGTCTTAGACTTAGGCTCTGTGGTATCAGGAAAGGGAACAGAAAACCAGGACTGTGACCAAGATCCACCCAAGAGCTGACA